GCCCTCCGAGCCGCCGGGGGGGAGGCGAGCACACGGGGAAAGATTTGGGTGTCGTGGGCTCTATTTTCTTGTTGCTGACTTACTTGCCAAACCTGCTTTTCTTCCCTTATGAGAAGCAACGCTGTATGGTTTTTTTTCGCTTCCAGATTTTACGAGAGTCGCCACAAAAATTGAGTGGCAAGGGCTGTGTATTACCCAACCGCACGGCCATCCCCACAGGGTTTGTGTAGTASAATAATATAAATGAGCTTGGGTGGAAATGTAATTATTCACAGTCCAGACTGGAAGGAGAAACCTGTATTAACAGAAGAAAAATGCCAGTGATTGGGGAAAAAAAAATCTCATAATTTGTCAAGTAAAGCCTAAGTCGTTCTAGAAGGCCACAGCACTAACCGTGGGACTGTCCAAGCTCTCTGTACCTCCTTTCTGTCCATTTCCTTCAGTGCAGAATTTCCAAATGCCACAACCCAACCCCCAGTGCTCCTGCCAGGCTCAGCAGACATGTATGRGATAACTGCAACAACACTGTCTGTCTTGTTCTGGGCCAAGCCTGGCTGTTAAATTATTTGCAAATCACCCCTAGCATAAGGAAATTTTAAAAAAAAAAATGGTTTTTGATGTGAAATCTCTTCTGCCAGGRACAGTGGTGACGCACAGCTGGATGCATGTCCAACAGCATGGAAAGGTGGCTGATGAAAGCYATGGGTCTGTGTGGTAAGTAACAAGAAGAGAAATCATTGTTTTAGCATGAAGTATTTCATTATTTACCCTGCAAGGAGTGCCATTTGTACAGCAGTTATTTCGTGTTAGCACTCTGTGGTGTGAWTTGGCTGGATTGGTAGTGATGCACTGTTCTGTCTTGGTGGATTGCTTTCCTCTTTGGAAAACATAGCATCCAGGCCCTTTTTTTTCTCCTTGGTTGCACTAAATAGATGATGCAGACACAGCACAGGAGAAGACTTTCCCTGCCTGTTCTGTATAAGATTTTTGCTTTTGCTGCTGCCACGACTAAGGAGACACATGTCTTAGCCCAAGGCCTGGGGTAAATTCTCCTTTTGTACTTTGTTGAGCAGCACACATTAAATTCCCATAAGAAAAGCTAGCACATGTATTTTGAAATTTAGTCCAATATGCAAATAACTGAAGATCCTGTGTCTGAAACATCTGCACAYCTTGTCTCTGTAAACTGTGGAAACACTGGAACCAGATCTTTTACTCCAAGTGTGAATGTGCATGTAACTGCATATGTATATATTTAGATTTTTATGCTTGATTCACTTTCTCATGGTGATCMGCTTTCCAGGGGCTTTTTGAGAGTGATAATGAGGATTCATGATGCAAGAAGCAAACCATCCTTTTTCAGCAGCTGAACATCATATTGGATGTTTCAAAGCAATATGGCTTCAAGAGTAGAGATGCTGCTCTGGTATTRGGGTACTGCAACATCTCCAAAATAAATAGGATTAAAATCCTCTTAGAGGAACTCAGAATATTCACTGCCTATAGAGATAAATAAAGCTCACCAGAGAAAATTATTCCAAGGTCRGAAGCCTCAAGCTGCTGGGCTCTTTTTGGCTGACAGCTCCATTTTGGAGGWGTGCCAAGCTACTGCAGGAATGCAAGTGGGATGGTGCTGTTATAAATGTAACCAACTGCTCTAAGGGAGGAGAGGTGTAAACTGCCKGGAGCTTTGAACATACCCTGGAGGGGACAGCTCCAAACAGAGCCAAACCTGGGAGACACATCACAGCACAAATCAGCGTCCACATGCTCTGCTCTGGCCCCAGGTGTGTCAGGGCCTGTCCTCACCTGGGGGGAGTGCTGCCCAGATCTCTGACGTGGTAGGAGTTCAGGCAGCCTGGAGGCTGCTCTGTCCAGGATGCTGTAAGCATGTTCCTTCCCACACKGGACATCTCTCACAGCCAGGAAGCAGCTTCTGGGACAATCCAAGAGGTGCTCCACTGGCTTCATGGTTCCCATAGCAGGCAGGTTTTGCTCACTGTGTCTGATAATGAGATCACCACTAGTAAATCATTTCCAAATCAAGATGATTCCAAAGAATATTTATTACCAAGGAGCACATGTATTTTTCCCTTGTTTTATATAGTCTTAAACATTAACCTCAATTGCTCCTGCAACATACGTGCTTCACCAGGATAGGTAAAGCCCCTGTTACTGATGTGCTCACTTTGCGGCTCCAAAATCATMTAATTACACATGAAAATGTTTCACTGCTGAACAGGTTCTTCCAAGCATTTGAAATAAAAAGGCTGTGAAATTTTGTTTGGTGCTAGCAGAAGGTGCCAGGCTGAGAGCACTCCACAGTCCTTCCTGGAACAAGTGGAACAGTAAAGCTGCTATCCTCTGTYCCACTTCTTGTCTTTGTATTGTGCTGGCTTTTAGCAGTGGATGTCAAAGCACAAGGATGCTTCAGATGTCCCACAGCTGACCTCTGGAGGGAGGCTGTGCACTACAAGGGCTCTCAGGCTGGATGGCACTGGAGTTCTGCTGATATCAGTGGGAGCTGGGCTGGTGACAGCCTGACTTCAGCTGCAAGGTGTGCTTGAGCATTGCCTGTTTTTTACTTAGCCTTTTACTGTGGCAGTAATTATCACTGTTACTCATCTCTCTGGATTCTCATGCTACTGCAAAATATCTGCTGTGTGGTGTATTCCACCCAAAATCTCCTTGTTCAGATTTGCCATCTTGGGAAAACGATACAAATTTACACATTTGGCTAATTCTGAAGGTCATCTGGGGAGCTGTTGTGGTGGCATTGCTGCAACTATGCCCTAAGTGAGGGAAATAGTCTCCTTCTTGAGATAATCTTTGYTTTGTACAGCAGCACAGCCACCTCAGAAGTGTGCTGGCAGGTACCATCCAGCTTTCTCCTGTATTTCCTGGGATCTGCTCTGTTTCTAGTTTTGATGCCACTGTATGAAGCTGTTGATATCACTCAGATCAATGCACAACTTACTAAAATGATTTGGCTTAACTCATTTGTTCTTCTTTATACTCGTTCTGTAATTGCTTAATGTCAAAACCAATGCTCATTCTTTCTATCAATTATTATGCCCTCTTAGGAACAGGCTTTTGCAAAGAAGAGAAAACCCATGACATAACTGTTAGATCCCCGATACTGTGTCCTTGTGGTTGTTTTCAAGGAAAAGAAAATAATTCCCAATCAGTAGGACTTCAGAAGTCAAGAAGTGATAAAAGCTAAAGTGTTCAGGCAAGAAGTTTTCCATTGAAGGCAACTGAAATGAACTCTRTATTCAAAAACAGTCCCAGAAAGGGTCTGCAGCAAATTAAGATGGGTTTTGGGAGAGGAGCATTTCACGTTTAAGAGTAATATCAATAGAGGTTTGGTTTTGGTTTTTTGTTTAGTGTTTTTGGGGGGATTTTTTATCTTTGTCACCTCAGTTTTTCCTAAAAGTTTCTTTTTTGGATGTTGTAAATACAGGCTTTTTGTATTTACAACAAATTTATTCTGTAAATACAGGCTTCTTGAAGTGCCCCGCACTTCAACCTGACTTGAGGTAAAGGTGATTTCAGGGTTACTGGGGAAGAGGAAGGCACTCCTCAGCCAGGGACATGGCAAAGTAATGAGGCATGGTGGGGCAGCCCATGCACTCCCACCTTGTGCTTCCCAGGCACCATATGGGACAAAATGAAGGTTGGAATCCATAGAAGCAGGTGAGCTTTCCAGTGCCACAGAACAGGGCAGGAGTTCAGCTGAAGAGCTGACAGCTCTGGGGATCATCAGAGTTTGCCACTGACTTGGTTAGCACGGTTTGTTCACTAAAACCCTCTTTCTAATTCCTCAACTTCTGTACCCTATTGCGCTTGTGGATGAGGGAATGCTGCACCCCTTCCTTCACCAYTTCCTATGAGGGGCTCTTTACTATTAAGCCCAGGGATTCTGAAATCATTCCTGCTACTTATTTTCRTGTTTATTTGTCTAATGCCGTGCCTTGGAACACCTATAACACAGTGGGAGGATTCCAGATTACTTCAGTGGGATATTCTGTTAATAACTGAAGCTCTGGCTCTCTCTTGATTAGTTCTTTATCTGCAGATCATAATATTAAAAAGCTTAGGGCAAAGAATAAAGATAATAATTTTGTAGCYGTTTTTCAGTTAGTTTCCAGGCTGATGGTTGGACAGCAATGAAAATACAAACTGCCTTCATTTGTCCCATYGATTCTCACCCTGTCACTCTATCCTGTTTAAAATCCTATGCACTGCAAGTTCTTAGTTTTAAAGGTGAAGGAAAAAATGTCCCGGAGTCTTGCTCATCTGATGTTACATGAGGCTACTGAAATATTGATCATATGCTTCACCCTGTATGCAATAAATAAAGGAGGAATTTCTAGYTGGAAGTTACTTCATATCTGTGAGGCAGATCTGGTGGTGCTGGCTCTCAGCAACTTAGTGCAGGAGCTTTCAGAAATGCAAATATAAGGAAGACAGTATGATGGAAAGTGACATTGGTTTTTGGGGCAGAGATCAGCACATGTACCCTGGGCCTGATAGAGAAACATCTGGGTATCAAAGCTGCTTGTGGAGTCCAGTGCTACTTACGGTGAGGAGGGGTAATCTGCACAAAGAATAGCTAAGAGCATGAAAGCAATGCTTCCAAAGTAATGCAGGGCTGCTGAAATCCCTGAGGTCAGGCAGGGGGAATTCCTATACAAGAAATTCATTGGTTCRGTTGTAATAAGCCTCATTCCTGTTCCCTTGCTTGGCCCTGCTCAGTTGTGGTTAAATGAGGAGAGGGATGATAATCATCTGATTATCCTGCTATTGACAGTCTGTGGAACAGTTGGGAGCCCAGGCTTGTCCTCTTGCCAATGCCAACTCCATGGATGGGTTCAGCATTTGGAAAGAAAAATACCATGTTCTACAATCTCCAACAGGTGCAGTGGCTGTTCCACTGCTGAGTGTACCAGGAGAGAACCTGGAATAGTCACTCTGTTGGCGCACCTCACCTATGTTCCTGACTCACCTCCCAAATTACCCACAGGGGAGAGCACAGATTTTCTCAGTAATTAATTAAATATGTTAGGAAAGRTTTCCCAGATACAGATGCAATGGCTGCTTCAGATGAAAAAGTTAAGTATGTCAGCTTACAGCAGAATCTTTGATTTTATGTGGGAGCCCTGGCATGGGGAGGCTAATGCTCAGTGCTGCTGTCCAATATCTATCAGTGMCACCACAGCTGATTCTAGTTCTTCTGGGATTTTTTGGCCCCAGAATTCTTAGAATTTGTGCCATGCCACAACCAAGTCAGATTAAAAACTTTGTATGCGTAAACCAGCATTTTTTTTCCCACAACAATTAGTAGGAGAGTGTTAATGGAGCTACCATGATCAATTACTGTCACAGATAAATATAAATAATGTTCCCTGTTCATGTGAGTGGATACRTTTTTCTTCAGACCTTTTTCCTTACAATAGTAGCAAAACCTGAATACGTTTTTTCTGAGCTCCAAGTATACTGATATCTGTCACCTCGKTGTTTAGCTCTCTCACTACACTTTGGGTAAACACATTGATTAATCCAGACATCAGATAAAATATACCRTTTATTTAGGATTAAATGCTCGTTTATAAATGGAATATGTAACTTGTTTTCTGAAGTCTGTGGTATATCGGCTTTTTTACAGATTTATTCAGAACACCTGAAAAACTGTTGGAACTGTAGTTAGCCAAGACAGTGTTTTCATATTACAACTKTATTATTCATAGAATCATAGAATGGTTTGGGTTGGAAGGGACCTTAAAGATCATCAAATTCCAACACCCCTGTCATGGGCAGGGATACTTTTCAGTAAAGTGGGTTACTCAGAGCTTCAAGACTTCCTGACTTGCTACAGCCACTTAACTCCATTCAAAGTATTTCAAGGTCCATTGCTCATTTCTGTGACTTTTCCATTAACCTCTTCCTATCACCCCTAAATAAACAGCTACTCAGGTTTCTACAAATAAGGGCTTTTCATCTCTGCTGTAATGACTTCAGGTGTACAGCTGCCCTGTAGGACATGCTTCATTTTGTCTGCATCATGTCTGTAACACAATAACCTGCTATTGCCTCAGAAAAAGATGTATGAAATTTTCCAGGCAATAACTAAAGTGGCTTAAATGTATGGGGTTTTTTCCACATGGGAGAGATAGTTACTTAAACAAATTATTTAATTTTACACAGGGTCCTGTATGTTTTTCCTTAATAGTCGGTGACAGTCAGTCTGACTAGAGAGYTCCTCCAAAGTTTGCACTGGTTAATTGGTGTCAAAATACTGATGCATGGGTGCATTAAATTCAGCTCTGACTTCCACTTTTTATAAACGGCCTCACCTGATGGAATAGCACCAGTGTAGGCTATGCAAGTTTTACTTTGCTCAGAGCATAAGACAGAACATAATCCATCACAACCGTGGGGAATAAAGCACACACAAACACCAGTGCCTTTTCCTTCAGCTTTGCCACCATGTACCGTGCTTTGGGTGCAGGAGATGTTAAAGCATCAACCATAGCATCTACAACCTCATTGCCATTAGTGCTTCCCTCATTGAGGATGTTGTTGAAAAAGTTTGTCCGYTCTTGCACATACTCCTTGTTGTAARCAGCCTTTTCCTCTTCACTCAGTTCACTCCAGATCTCTTCAGCACTGAGTGGYGGCTGAATTTTTGTAGAGCGTGCATAATTTCCTGGCTGGATAATACAGACCTGAAAGCAAGATGTAAAACTTACCAAGGTGCAGTCAGTCATTGTGAATTCMATTACATACTATAGTCAGTAACACAGATCAAAAGCTCTCTGCAGACAGAGTYCTTCCAGAAAATGCTGCTTTGTTGAAATTTTAACCCTGTAAACTTGACTGAAATAAAATATATTCCCGTGAAATATTTAAGATTGCAGAGGTGCTTTATTCTTACTTCCTCATTTTGTTMTGATGTTAATATTCAGACTACTCAGCACACCTTCACAGAATGCAATAGAGCATTTTTGATTTCTGCAGAATGCTTAATGTTGTAAATGTTTTGACAATACTGAGACAAAGCACTTCAGTATGATTTTRATGTCTCCAAAGAGGAATATTTTGGATTTTTCACTCAGTGAAGAACCCTGCCATTTGTAATTTTTTTACCCAGTTTGGGGCAAAATGAGAGATCAAAGAAAATTAGCAGTTCCTGGGGAAAGAAGTGCTATTTTCCYCAAGTAGGTGTAATTATAAGTAAACTAGGTCTTGTCAGCAAAGGATAGGGGGACCAAGGRTCCTGGTCTGCCTCTCACTGAATCCATTAGCAAATTTCTGTAGGTTTGTGCACATAGGTTTAAACTGATAGCACACAAGTTCTTTGCTGCTCCACATGTTTTCTTTGTGTGATGCTGCTGTTCTGCTCCCTTCTGAGTCTTCCAGGGAATTTTGGAGCAGGCTGAGCACTCACAGTACACATCCTCAGTTAGCAGCAGCTTTGTTCAATCTATTTGTAGAGATGCAACATTAAAAGCTCTGTGACATTTAACTGACCTGATTTCTAAAGACTGCAACACGAGGTGAGGAAAACCCGTGCTGAGCCATGTCAGAGACTTGGAGATCTGACAGGCATTCTCTGGGTAGTCTGTGATGATATAAAACCCTGATGTCTCCACTCCATCACCCAGCTCACCCACCAGAGCCTCCCACCTGCTTGTTGGCCTGCATGGTGATGGATGTGCTGCTCTCAGGACTGGGGTGCAGGTTCTCTGCACAGGGAGAAGGAAAGGATGCAGATAAACTAGGAGAGGGACCGTGTGCATAGCTGGGACAGCTTGTGCTGACGCAGGTGGGGTGGTCACACAGCATCCTTAGGRACCCTCCCTTCTGGTGCTATTTAGAAAAGTGTTTGGCATCAGCAAAACTAATGCCAATAGTAAACTTCCCACATTTATTGTTAAMAAAGGGGCTTCAAAAGCTTCCCTTTTTGCTGTTGGCTAGGAGAGAAGGAGAGGTGGTTTGAGTTCTTTTCTCCTTCCTGCATTTTCTGTAGCCTTTCTACTGGGAGATCCACACTTTGTCTCCTGTAGGGGGAGGAACTCCTGCCTGGCCAGAGTTCAGTGGGACAGAGCCGTAGCTCCATCGGCTCCTTGCCACCTCTGTGCAGCTTTCTCCTGAAAGCACGGAGAGGACAACAGAGCAGTGAAAGGGAGCACAGGAAAAAGGGACTGTGTACTTTGKAGTCTCTCCACAGGGTAGGTTCTTAGGCAAATTCCAGCCATCATCTTGCATACAGCGAGAAACAGAAAAATACCTCTCAAAGATATTCCAGAAATGTTTGTCAGCCTGGCTCATTCAATTATGTGCTGGGACTATTGCAGARGTGGAACAGGAAAAATCCCAAAACGACCAGAGTAGCTAACCTGTTACACTAAGCTCTTCCATGCATTTGAGATTATCCTCAGCTAATCAGCTGAAATCTTCATCATGCTCTGTGGTATTAGGATGTGTAAAGTCACTTGCATTTTATAGCCCTTCATATTTATCCAACAGCAGCAGTTAATAAATGCATAGCTGTAATTTTTTCCAACGCAAAGCTTCTGAACAATGCTGTAAATCTGTGTGCATAAACAGTGCACCAATGTAAACCTTCCAGGGAAAACTTTGAGTGTTTCAGCAACAGAGTGACTCCAAGGAAAAAGCCYAGTGAAGCTACTTAGTGATCTAAGCTTCAGGTTTGACTATTAGAGTTGCTTAGACAGCACACTAAGWGCAAAATCAGAGCCTCTTAGGTTAAGAGAATAAAAACATAATTACTCTGCACAATGCTGCCTCTTGCAGTGCAGCTGTTCTGTCAAAAAGCAAGGAGCTGTTAAGCACTGGGGTTGTAAGAGGAGAGAAGGAACCCCTCAGGCAGGTGACAATCTTCCTTCTGGCTTCACAGCACTCTGGGTCTAAGCTCTTTGCACCCCAGGGAACATGTGAGTTCCTTGCTGCTGTTGGGAGCTGTGTGTGGAACASGGCACTGCTCAGGCAGGCCTGTGTCAGGAAGTTTCTTCACTGCAGAGAATGTGGAKAAAGGCTGGAAGTTTCAGTGCTGACACACAGTCCTGTTACCCAACAGCTTCTCAGARCTGCAAACTTCACCCAGGTCTGCTCTTCTCGGTGATTTCCAGCTGACTGATGCGCCACAGAGAAGCAACCTCTTTCCAAAGGGAAGCTGCACCCATGGAGGCAATTCTGATCTTTTAACTCTGTCACTTTGTTTCATGTAACTCATTACATCACTTACCTGATTTCCAGGTTCCTGTGACATCACTTACCTGGACACCAAACTTCTTCATTTCCAGTCTTAAAGCATCACAAAATTTTTCAATAGCTGCCTTGGTCATAGAATAAATACCATTTCCCAGAGCAAAATAGGCAATGACGCTGGACATGAAAACAATGCGTCCTGGAAAGAAAAGAGTGCAAATAACATWACTTCACTCTCAGTCTTTAACATGGGATCGATTTACCTCAGTTTTCTGAGCTGCTGACAATGTGGTGTTTAGTAGGAGGCTGTTTTATTGCACACTGTGCCAAAACTGGGSAGTGTCAGTGTGCAGTCCCAGCAGAGAAGAGCACTCAGCTGTTAAACAGAGAACTTCATACAAAAAAAATCTTCCACCTAGTGACAGATGCTGGCCTAGACAAGTGTAACACATTCCCAGCATGATGTTTATGCCTTCTGAGTCTGAGACAGGATGAAAAAGATTGAAGCAAAGCAGTGCCCTAAAAACTTTAGATTGGAAAACAGTAATAAGAGATTGTGCTAGGAAGGGTTGAAAGATTGCAGAGAAGAGGGGAGGTGATTTTCCCTGTGGCAGATATATGGTTACTAATACCATTTTTTTTCTGTGCTAATGATGTTTCTGCACTGAGATGTGGCTTTATAATCGTGCATACAAAATCCAAGTCAGACTGTACAGTGATAAGCTTCACCAAGAAAATGTGACTTTACAAAATGTGTGCAGTCTTACATTACCTTACAATGATTTCCCTGATYTGTGCTACTTTTTCCTCCTTTCTAGCTCCTGCTGAGCACAGGCATGCCTTAAATTGCAGAGATTCCTCATCTGAGGCACTGGGCTGTGGTTCATTTCCATTGTAAACTTCTGTCACATAGTCCTGCCATGGGGTTAGGAATGTGTGAACATGCATATACAAATACCAGAGGTGAGGGAAAAGATGGCCTTAATTAGTCAGAGGACACATTTGCACTCCTGTTGCTGCCACAGATGCAGATATCAGGGCCCCARTTCTCACCAAATGGAATAGGGTTGGGGGATATCAAAAGGTATTGTGGGAATGCAGTGRAATCTGTCATTCTGAATTAGGTTCCCTACCTTCCTACACAGCATCCCAAATAAATCTTATATTCATTAAGAGGAAAGTAATTACTGGATTGCTGAACAAGATGCTTTATCAGCTGGCCTGGCCAGCTGGAAAAAATATGGGGAAATGTTGCTCCTCTCAGGGTAGGATGCTTGATTCTAAGCTGAAGGCCATTACCTCCTTTTACAAGTATTAATAATTGTATTAATAATTTTGAAGTTTTTCTTGGAATAGGTGCATATCCATGGCAGGAAACCATGGGTAGGATGACCTCTGCCTCCTCTGTCCAGTAGCTGAGTGGTTTGGGGCACACACCCAGGATGTGGGACACTTCATTTAACTTCTCTCTGTGCCTAGGGGAATTGAAACCCAGCTTCCCCAGGAGATCCTCTAATGTCTGCAATTCAARCTTTTCATTTGGAGAGGTCACCTGCTGCCCTACGTAAGTTTAGCTTTAGTCCCAGTTGTTCCTGCAAGGAAGGAGATAGGAAATCTAGATTGTTCCTAGAAGTGCCTTGACCTCCTCTCCTTCATAGATGGTACTTGAAATTGGAGTGCAGGAGTTCATCGAGGAAACATTGACAGCCCTGTATGAGATGCAGATTATTCCTTTGAGCTAAGGTGTGTGTGCAGCCATCCAGACCCAAACCTTCTAAAGGTTTATGCATGTGTTTAATATCATACACACAATTAGTCCCTTTTGCTTCAAAGTAACCCTGTGCAATGCATGGCGCCAGAGAAATGCCTCTGGTGGTTCAGCATCACAGAGTTTCAGTAGCAAGTAGAACATCACAGGAAAAAGAGATGTCTCCCYGTGTAATGGCCACATAACACACTGACTGGATACATACAATAGCACATTCTTTCACAAAAAACACATCCAGCTCACAGTGTTTAAAGGGTTTCTTTTATCCTGCATCACAATACTATCAACCAAAGACAGCCAAGCAGAAAGAAACAGAATAGGCAAAAAAAAAAAGGGGAGGCGCTTTTATCTTACCAACTGGGTAGCAGTGACACCTGGGACTTCCAAATGAAACCTACCCCTTCCTGCGCTTGATGCTGCACAGAGCACGAATCCTCACCCTAAACAGTCTACAACTGGAACAGACAACAAAAGGGAATCTTCTTCCCCAAATACAGATGGAGATAGATAGGAACAAACTGCAAAGAAGACCATGCTGCTGTGCTGCAGAGGGCTATTAAACCATTCCTTCTTAGAAGGAAGGAGAAAGCCCAGGTGTAGGGAGGTCCATGCAAATGCATTTATCTCACTGGATATCCATGCACCTCTACATATTTGAAATTTCCTGTCCAAGGTCATAGCAGGATCTTGCTAGACCTGGAAGTGGAAGCTGGATGTTCACCTCTGTAGGGTCATCCTTCCTCTCCTAATTGACAAACAGTAAAATTGTAAAGCCTAAATAATAAAATGAAGCCGTTTATTGGATCTTGGTGTTTTCTGATTGTCAGTACTTAAAAAGTCTTGCCTGGTCTTTATGATCTGCAAACATTTTTCCTCTCTTTTTTGAATCAAACACAGAAAGAAATCCTTATTTATAAATATTTTTTTTCTATGTACTGCAAAGACAGGATCTTTATGGATATTTTTTCCCTTTATGACTTCATCTTCTTTTCAGGATCAAGCTGCTCTTTCAGGCCACACAGAAGGAGGCTGTCATTTCAGTTCAGTGAGAGACAATTAAAGCCTCTTTTATAGATGCTACATTACCCTGATTATAGTAAGCTAATTATTCTACAACTCTAAATAACAGTGGATTAGCATTACCCTTGTATTTCCTCAGAAGGGGAAGAAATGCCAGGGTTGTCCTGATRCTCCCAAGGAGATTCACATCTGCAAATTTCTCATATGTCTCCATAGGCAGCCACCCTGTCTCGCCAAATGTTGATATTCCTGCATTRTTGACAAGCCCCCAGAAACCTGTGGAAGAGAAATGACTCAGCAAGCATCTTTAACTGCAAACAATCTCTGTTAGATAACAAACCAACACCAGTGATTTGGGTCCTTGGAAGAAACCATATAGTTATATTACATTTTTGTCTTTTCTACTTGAAAGTGCAGGCATGTTTTGTTTAAGGAAGGAATGCAATTGCGGCCATAATCTCGACTAAATGGAATAATAKAATAGTTTGGGTTGGAAAAGCCCTTAAAGAYCATCCAGTTCCACCACCCCCCTCCTCCCCCCATGGGCAGGGACACCTTTCCTATAAGTCTCAGTGCTATTTAATAATCACTCACTTYATAGTCAACTTAAGTTATTTATGAATAACATGATCTGGGAGACTACATCTTACTGCCAATGTGACATACCATGATATTTTAATTACTTTAATCCCACTGTGAGTTATGAGCTTTGTGAAATTTGTATTAAGCAGTCTAAAGGCTAAGAGGTACTATTTTCAAAGTGTCTGACTAATTAAAGAGCTGAAGTATGGCATCCTTTTCCAAGATTTGAGCTCTGAATCCTTCTGAAATCAGCCAGAATCAGGTGCATGGATGTAACATTGGGTAAAGTAATCAAGCAGGGTCAGTGGCTACACTATTTYTAAAACTTTGTACTTTTGAACAATTGCATTCCCCATATAATGACAAATTTTAGTGCTAAGGAGCCCACCACCCAGTAAGATTTCRGTGTTTACAAGCAGGAATGTATTGGCAGCAAAGCTTGTTCTGACAGAGCTYTGTGACAGGAAGCTGAAGCCCTTCAGGCCAAAGCCACAGCAGGTGTCATGTGAGCCCTGTGCAGCGCTAACAACCTCAGCTCTGGGAAATGTCTGTGTGCTGGAGGCAGGAGTGCTCGCAGGTTGGAGCTGACACGCTGCCTAAATGCTGATTAAGCCGTGCTCACTTGTTCTTGCCTGCACAGCGTGTAACTGTGGATGTACAGTGAAGCAGGGAGTGACACAGTGCTTTTGAAAATGTTTCTGATTCTGTCTTCCAACCTTGACTCACARCATTTCTAGAGTGACCAGCAGCGGAACTAAGGAGTACCAGGGTAGCCTGACTGGCACTGAAACAGCTGAATTTGCAGCTTGGATCTGCCAGCCTTGACAATTTTGCTTATGCATTTGCATAAGCATTTGCAAATGCTTATGCATTTCTTTTGAAGAATCTTTGTAGGTGTCTGAGGCAAATGATTGTCTTTTGCTTCATAGAAAGATGGTGCTTTCTACAGAACCACCAAGCCTGGGTTTCTGGGGAGGCAGAGCAGGTTTCMGTGCCTCTCTTCCTCCCTCAGAACACAAAAGTTTGGTGCAGTTTTTGACCCAGCTGTAGCCTCCTGTACTGGTGGCAGCAGAGTTATTCTCAGGGGATATTTGACTACCCTAGTGAAGGCACTGCAGAAATCTTTGGACTGAACCCTTTTCTATCTGATCTTCTCTGACAAAACTACCAYAGTAATTTCATGGTATCTTGGTCCTTCCAGGGCCCTGCTAAGAACTGCCAATACTACATTTAATTCACAACAGTAGTTAAAGATGAAATAGAAAACTTTTGGAATTAGTTTGTAAAGCAGACCTCTGTAAGCTTTTCTAACATATATATATACAGTACTTGTATCACCTAATGAAATCGGTCTTTAAACAGAGAAAGAAACTGTTTGAAAGTTTTGCTCTGCAATTAGAGAGTCCTCTGTAGAAGCTAATTATCAATATTTTTATACTTGCATATGATCTCATCTGCAGATGGACTCAGTGGCTGCACACCTATCTGTTTCTGCTCAAAGCTGGAGGTTTCTGTACTCTGGGTTATTTTTACATAACCTAGCTAACACAACCCAAACAGAAGTCTGTCATCCCTGTTTCCTAATCTTTTCAGCTTTACCTTTTCTAATTAAAAARGTAATTTTGCTTCTGCCACTGCTGTGTTTGCAGCACAGCAAGAACACTTGTTCCATATACCCCTGATTTCATCAGGGCTTCAGAAATACAGCCATTAATCTTTAGACAATTGATTTTCTTCCTTTGTCTGCAAACTGTGAAACACAGAATTTAGCTTGGAAGACTCAAGTTTGCTCTCCAGCCATTTRCTTTATGTGCTTCAAAGCCTCCAGGCAGTTGCTGGTGAGGCCAACCTGTGTGCACGAACAGAATAAAGGCTCCTTCCTTCCCTGCAGTGGCCAAACCAAAAGCTGAAAAATATTGGTCTGAGTTAAACTGAAACAGACTTTTTAAAGTRAAGATTAAGTAAAACATAAAAAGACATTTTGCTCCCGGTCAGCTCAAAACACTTGGTTTGCCCTCAAGCAAAACATACTGTTTCTTAGAACATTTTGCCATTCCCCAAWGGGATATGTTGTGATATTTTCCAGAAGGTTTCYTGCCACTTYGTTTAGTTGAATAAAKKAAAAAAAAAAAWTCTACCCAAATAACAAACAGTTCCTTATTYCTTATGCCACTTTCTCAGGATATTYCCTGCCYCCTGARCAACARCCTGCCCAGCTCTGTATTCAGGGTACTYGAATCTGCTTTGGTCTTCCTGCCCTGAAATGTTTGTGGTAAAAATTAGTGCTATAAATGTGCATACAAAACATATTGTAAATTTGCTAAGACAAATGCAGCTCAGGTGACCTAAGAAATACAGATGGAAATCCTGGAGGATGTGGCACAAGAATCGAACAGCTGAAGGAGTGCAATATTGCATTTCCTCAGTGTCCATGCAGAGACACATTTGGAAAAAGCAGCTGATGTTTGGTGTGTCAGACTGTCAAAACAGAACAGTCCAAACACAGTTTATGAAGATAGGTGTCAGACTATGCTATAGCAGGCAGGAAATAAATAAATTGGAAAGCAGGATTGGATATTGGAAAGGACTRGATGTCACAGAATTTCCACTATCAAGAATTTTCACTAATCTCTGTGCTGGAAAAATGGATTCTGACAACAAAGATTACAAGATACAGTCATGGATCTAAAGAATYACTCTTGGAAATCAAACCTAACATTAATGGGACTTTCAGGAGAACAGTAGCTCTCACATGAGCTCCCCAATAACTTCTACTTCACAACATATTGACCAAAAGGCACATATCCAAAGTCCTTATTTAGGCCCAAAAGATACCTRACATTTTTCCTGAAATTCTTATAAATCTTCTTCTTATTCAAGTGAATCCAGCTGTGCGTGCAAAATCCTTAGAAAATCAGGTTGTCTCTGTGTTGGTGCCAACACTCAGATAATATCCGAATTCTACACTGTCCAAATTCTGACAGGTATTCTTGGGATCTCCGATCTTTTGAGTTTCTCCCCTGAACCTGAGCCCATGTGAAAATGATCAGCTCTTCTCCAAACCAATACTAAAGGAAACTAGCCAAAGGAAGGAAAGTATGGTTTTGCCATGTTCCTTTGGAAAAATGAAGAGAGGGAACAACCCAATCTGTCTGTGGCAGTGCAGGATAGTAGCAGGCCAGATGAGATTGCTGAGTTRTATTTACATCCATTACATCTGAGTCATCATCCTTTGCTTGGAGTATTACACTGAGATTGTCTTCACTATAAAGATAATCTATTTCTATAGAGAGTCTGGACTAAAATATTGTACCATGGGTGAATTCCATCAATAGAAAATCATTATTAAGTGTAAGAGAGTACTTAATAACCTTTGAGTAGAAGTGGGACTAAAACTAATATCCCTCCATTCCAGCAGGCTACATGTCACCCACCCACAATACACAAGAACAGGAAAAGAAATTCCGGTTTGAAACAGAAGAAAATCAGAAAAATTCTGAAGTATGCTGTAAAGCCCAATAGAATTGCAAATCATAGTGCTCTGAAGTCCAGGTGTACTTCAGATTGGCTTTGGATTTCTACTCTTGCATAACAGAGAGAGAAGATTAATCCAGAGCTTGGGCTACTTATGGTTACAGCATAACTAGGTGTAGGGAGAACTGTATTTTATTCCTGATGTTTTGATATTTTTCTGATATTTGACATATTTTTTGTACATTTTAAATGGAATAGTCTACTTAAAGCAGAAAGTCTCTTTTAGTCTTTTGTAAGTCTACTTATCCTGAGCCCAGGAAAAAGGCAGATTAAGATGGACTTAGAAGACATCATATCTACCAAACAGCCCTACAAGTCTGAGATGCACAGTCCATGGGAAGGATGATACTRTAATAATAAAGAATATTAAATTTACCAGGATTTACTCTGAGCTATTTAAACACAGATTGCAAAAAGCAATCATCATTTAACTGCTTTCTCTTCACTATGGTCCAGCTTATGAGGTTTCATTTGGAATCAGTGGCCTTTGCACACTTACCATTAGACCTGGAGATTTGGGAAGTGGCTGTCTTTGGAATGATAGAGGAATATTTTAGTGATTTGAATTTAGAATTCCAGCACACTGATGTGATGTACTTAAAATCATCAGTACCTGAGTGAAACTGAGTATAGTAAAAATGGCAAAAAATAAGGGAACAATCTCTAAGCAATACCTGGTGGTTCCTAGGGTTAGGCTCCTCTTTCCAGTTTCTAAGGGAATTGCTGAACAGAATTCTCCTGTTCTGAGGGAGGGGGAGGGAGAGACAGAGAGAGAACTGTTCCACAGTATTTACAARCTAACAGTGACATACAGAACACTGTATGTCCTCAACTATTTAAACAGTGGATGCTTACACAACTCTTAAGCAAGGTAAGGCATGATCTACTATAACCTTTCAGCATAATCCACTGGATTCCTACATCAGTTTGAATTGTGTAAAACCAAAAGCAGATTTTAATCTGTTCAGTGCTTATTTACAACAGTCTATTGAACTCACCACYGACTCTTTGCTCTCCTCATTACAAATGTCTGAGCTGTATTTGATTTCCACTTTGGTCAGTCCTCTGCTGTAGGCCCTGGATGTTGCTGTCTGTGATCCACCAGAGAAAATGTCCYGAGGGTTCTTTAACTGGTGGGACATTGAGTCACATGTTCCAATGCCTACCCTTCGGGCAGCAGGTAACATGTTCTGTGTAGTCACACACTTCGCTTATCTTCTAGGTACTTTCAGAACAGAAATGCAATTACAAATGGTCCAGAATTCCATTTCCCAATGAAAAGGAATTTAATTAAAACAATCTTTGACCCAAATGTAAAMAAATAGTAATTCTTATCTTTAACAAATAAGTCGGTTAATATGAGAGCTAACCTTCTGTTTAATCATTAAATTGAAACTGCTTTCATAAAGAAAACAACATAGTTATTTTCAGAGGTGCCAGGAATGAACACTCCTGCTGAACTCTTTTGCTTATAGTCTACATAAGAAGGGTATTGTCACAGTTTTTTTACATTTGAGATAATAATATTTATACCCCTCTATTTTATAAATCTTGAGGACTTGTAGTGTTAGTCTATAAAAGCACAAGCCAATGCTCCGGGTGTGAGGGCCCAGGAACACCACTGAGCACAGGTCATGTGCCTGCTGCACTTCACACTTGCTGTGCTGAATGTCTCCCCTGCCCCTCCAGCAAGCTCTGGTGTCTGCACGGGCATTGAATTGATCTGAAGGCACATCCACAAGCAGCAAGGACAACGCACAAGTTAGTGCTGACTGTACTCCAGAGTCTACACAACAGCATGAGCTTGACCACTGCATGACAGCATAAACTGTTGGAATTACAAAATAAATGTTGTGAAACCCAGAGTTTCAGGTGACCCGGTCCCCATGGAGCCTGAAAGGGCTTTTAGGAATCATTTGTGTTTTTCTGCAGGTTGAGAAAAAGCCTGAGAGGGGAAGGCTCTACCTCTTAATCAGATAAGGTCAAGATCAAGACCATAAATATAGGTACTTAGGGAGCAGTGCCTAGGCTTTTTCTTACTTCTCATTTCATCCCCTTCCCAATGTGCTAATGAGCCAGGCAAGCAGAGGCCTTGCATTTCATTATCACTCTGTGTGCCTCATTTTCTGCTTTTATGTCCTGTGTGAGGAAGTGTTTGTGATTCTAAGGGAATCTCACTTCCAAGCCTGAGGAAATGTGCTCTGCACCAAGTGTATCCCAGAATTACACTGAGTAATTCTCATGCTGCAGTCCCAGCAGGAAAGGAGGTACCTGTGGCCCCATCACCTGCGCTGTGTCATGCTGAAGGGATAACCCAGGATTTAGGTTGTCTGCAATTATTCTGAAGCTAAGTCTGTCCATTCCCCTGGGCACACACTCCCTGTAGGGTGTATTGACAGGTTTCCCTTTCAGTAACCCTTCCAGGGACTAGCCTGACAACCTCAAGTGGTTCCAAGAAGCAGCTGCTTTGGTATGACATGGCAGCTGCCCTCACTGCATTTCTCGTATCTATTTCCTCTTATGCAAGTCATGCCCAGAAATGCATCACATTCCCATCCCTCCAATGCCTGCACAGTTATTCTGTGCTTTCTCTGCTGTTTCCTTCTATTGGATATGCGTAGAGGGGCTCCAGGGATGCCCCACTCGGGRAGCTCCTTGGCTTGTGGAAAGGGGAAGCTCTCCGTGGCACACTGAGCAGCCCATCTGCTTTACACTGACGGCACTTTTGGGTGGGCCCCAGTCTGTGTACCCACCAAGGGATTATTAATAAAATATTATTGTCATTACCAACAGAGGTAACTGCAATTAGCTCCATCAGTGATCCCTGTCTTCATGCTGTGGCAATCCAGCTGACTGTTATAAACACATATGATAGTGTTGGCTTTCGCAGATATTAAAATGGGTGCTATTTGTACAATGTTGCCTTTTTTGCATAAGTAGCTTAGTTATGCAGACATAGTGATGAAATAATCACTGGTGGTTTTAGTTTTTCTTTTGTAACTCAGATATTGTTTTAGAGTACTTGTGGTTAACTYGCAGTAACTGAAGTGTGACRACTTGTGACTTAAAYATTTCCATGAAGGATTTTTTTGCTCATTATAGAAAAACTAAACAAAAGCTGCAGGGAGAGCCACTAAGACTCTGAAYGGGGCCCTGGCTGCAGTCGCACTGACCAAAAAGATACGGAGAAAAGATTGCATGAGCAAAAGATCACAGCTTGGCACCTCTGGCACTTCCCCCAAGGCTATCAGCACAGACCCTGACAGCAAAACGAGTGGGGGTGGAAGGAAGATGAGTTTTGGAATGTGTAGTGGAGAGGCCATCTGGCCAGAGGAGCTCGTGGAATGTCCGTCCTCTGCTGCACAAAGGAGCCTGGCTGGTGGGACCCCCTGCCTTCGGATGGGCTTATCGGACTGGCCAGGGGTTGGTGAGCCACTAGGGGCCCCTGCTATGGACACTTCTCCATCAACAATGACCATCTGCAAAAACTACGGAATAGGGGTCACACATACGCGACCCCAGGAACATAAACATCATCACTGCCCATGCTCTAAAAAGGCAGATCCATGTTAAACAGTTCCTGAAAAAGTCTGAATATGCATAAATGGCTACGAATAGGCATTAAGCTGATGCAATACAAAATGTATTTAAAGAGGTCTCTGTCAATATCAGGTGTGCCTTTGGCAAATCGCCACGCACCTCGTGCCCTCTCGGGCGCCGTATCCTTTTGCTTTCTGTCCCCTACTGTCATTTATTGAACTTTTAAATTTTCACAGGAGAGTGAACTTCGTTTTTCACATGACCCTCTCAGACAGCTCCCTGCTAGTAGTCCCGGGCGAACCGAGCCGCCCTTTTGGCGACACCGTGTCCGCCGGTCCCTGACGCTGGCGGTAGCCGAGTCCCCCGCGGCCGCCCCGCCCGCCCCGGCGGCCTCACCTCGCTCGGGCAGGTGGCTGAGCACCAGCTCCTTGGCGGCGCGCACGTCGCGGGCGCGGGTCACATCGAGCCGCAGGACGCGCAGGCGGCCACCAGCGCCCGCCTCCCGCTGCAGCCGCTGCGCCCCGTCCCCGCTGGGGCACAGGCAGCCGGCGAACACGGTGAAGCCCAGGCGGTGGAGGCGGAGCGCCAGCAGGTGCCCGAAGCCGCTGTCACAGCCCGTGATGAGCACGGCCCGCCCGGCCGGCTCCAGGCGCGCCGCCCCGCGCCGACACAGSCGCGCCAGCGGCAGCAGCAGCARCAGGAGCAGGGCGAGGAGCAGGAGAGGAACTGCTGCCCACATCCCGCCCGCCCCGCTACAGCCGCGCCGTCTGGGAGCGAGGGAGCGAGGGAGGGAGCCCGCGGACAGCCCCTCCCCGCCCGCCCAGTATCCTTTGCCCACCCACCCGACATCCCCTCCCAGCTCGGCATCCCCTCCCCAGCGCGGCGGCCGCCCGCTGCACCGCCCTGCCCCGCTGGTGTACGGGAAGCCACGGCACCGCGGACCAGACGGTCCCCGGCTCCTCCGAGCGGCATCCTGATGAAGCCCGGGGTTTGGTAGAGGTTTCTCCCCACTTTTAGTTCCGAAAAGAAAAGCGTAGTCTGTAAGCATCGTACCGTGGTCACTGGTTCTCCGAGCGCCGGGGAAAGGGAGCTGGGTTATGCCGAGATCCGGTTGTGTGCACAGCTCAACTTCCCTGCTCAGCTGAGTTTTATACCGTCCCGGCACTACAGACTGGCCGCAGGGCACAAACTAAAGCAGCCATGAGTGCTTTTGGAACGGTCAGATGGGGATTTCTAAAACAGCTGCATTATTATGTTATGGTTGCTGTATCTTATGTTATATATTACCTTGCAGTATTACATTGATGCGGGTTTTTTATGGCTCAGGTCTATGGCTGTTGCTGTCTCAAGAGTTGCCTACATTACCCCATGGTGGAGGAAAATGTCTGTTTCTTGTAGGCTAAAGTGACAGTTATGTATTGCTGAAAAACAGATCCCTGAGAGCTACGAGAAATGTGATTAGGCAGTATTTTGTCTGCCCTTTCTTTTATCTGAGCAACTCTCGAAGCATCTTTTGAAAGGGATACTATGTYATATCTGCCTTCTCTGAGTAAAATGAGATGATTGAAATAACCAGATGCCTTTATTAATTGTGGTTTAAAGTTGGCTTGTGAAAAACAAAGGAGACAGAGTCTTTCACTGACATATACACAGCAGCAGAGGAAGCAGCAGGTCTTAACACACACAAGGAAGGTCCCAAATATTTGCCTAAACTACATCCCTGTGGCTCTCTATATCATGTGAGATATGTCTGTCTCATATTTAGTGGACAACTTGTATCTAGTTGTGGCAGAGGCATTTCTGAAGTGGTGTAGTCTTGCTGTCCAGGAGTCCCCAGAAATGACGTGGTCCCTGCAGTCAGCCGTGTTTTGTGTTTGCTTGGGGATACCTTTGCACAGACATAGAGTGTTTTAATGACATCCTAAGGAGAAAGGGAATAATTATTGTTTAGTTTGCATTTCCAGKGGTCAAGGCATTCCTGGGTTTTTACTCTCATTGGCTGCATATCTGCCTAGGTTTATTGTAGCTTTAAATTGTTCGGTGCTCTCCCTTCTCTTCTGGACTGTTCAGCTCTCCATAGCCATTGCATAATAGGACTCAAGTGGCTTGGGAAAGGAGGGTATGTTTTGCTGCTGGGACAATGACAATGTATGGCATGGAATGGTTGAACCCCAAAGAAGATACCCAGATATTTGTCCTCGGTAGGATTTATTTGATCATGCTCTGTCACATTGGGATATGCTGACCCTTTTTAGCCTTCAAAAGATCACTCAGTCTTCTGCAACTACGTGAGTCACAAAGCATTGTCTTTACACTAACAAAATAATTRTGCAACCCTCAAAATCATGAGATCTGATAATAGCCTGTCCTCCAGCCAGCTTTCCTTTCTGGTTCCCTCTGGCATAAAAAGATAGGGAGGGATTTGCAGATTCTCCTCCTCCATACCTTCTCCTACCCACCTCTCATCCATGTCTGCCACTCTCTCCTCTCTCAGCTTTTGTGTCCCATTAATAACACAAGGATCACAGGCAGTGACAAAACCATTCTCCTGAAGACTTAGAGGTGACCCAACTAACCTCTGAATTTTATRTTGTCTCTGTTCCAAAAAAAATTCAAAAGGTATTGAAAAGGTGGTACACAAATGTGACACGTTCCCACCTGAGAAGGGGAGCAGTATATTGTCAAAGTGACAGAGTAATTTAGGCTGAAAATTATGGATTACAACTATGTCCTTCACACTTAGAAACAACTTCATGTCTAYCTAGTCCAGGAAATGAGACCACTTAGATCTACGGTGCAGCATATTTGCAATAAAATGTATCTATTTGTTGGAATTATTTTCCTCTGGTTTATAGCCTTCTATTCCTAACTCAAATAKATACACATACATACATGTATACACATACACACATGCTTGTCATGATAATGTGCATTTTGAGTTTATGACTCTGGTTTGTCTAGTTCCTGAAAGTCTTCTTAATTAAATCCTACTTTCATTAAAAACCTCATTAAGTTTTAATCTCTGTCTTAATCTGTTCTATCTCTTATGCAATTCCAGTTAGGTGTGGTTTACCTGTAGCAAGTCTAAGCAAAGGATTGGATTCTGAGGGAGTAGATGAGTAAATGGAAGATGCTTAGAAACTGATGGGGATCTGGACAACTCTGCTCCCAGATTATGTCCAGGGCAATTTTCCACTCTTCCTAGGAGCATTTCTGGGAACAGCAGACTCTGAAGCTTTTGCTTCACAGTTTAAATCTTTATTTCGTGTCACCCAGTAAGTTTCAYTGTGTGAAATAAGTTGCTCTGGGAAGGCATCATAATATCCTTTTTTGTTACTGTGTTGCCGTGTTGTCCCTACCCTGACAACACAAACTGCTTTTCTAAAGGACTGTCAAGTTTCTTTTCGGGCAATGGCTGTAAAGGACCAGGATAAAGGAGTGCTGGGATGGGCTGTGTTCCTCCCGGGACTTTCAGTCTGATTTCTGGGAAGACAGATCCTCTTTTTTACCTAGTTCCTGAGCAGAGGATCAGTGGCTGTGAGTAGTAGAGCTTGCTGTAGGGCATTTAAATAGTATGAACAGATAGTCCAGCATAGGTCCAGTAGAAATCAAGTTGCAAGGGAAAGGAGGAGGCAGTGTAGCTTTTCTCTGTCCTTAATCACTTTCTTATATTTTTCCTTATTCTCATATCTACACATCTCTGCTTATTTTACTTTTCCCTGTTCCCTCAGTCCTCAGCCCTTTACCTCTCCTGGCAGTCTTATTGCACATTGGAGCTGTCCCAAAATTTACCATCCGCCATGCTCACTGGTGCCCACTTTCAGTAGTGGGTAGGAGGAGTAATGATCTTTGGTGTCTTTCTTACAGCCTCAACTTACCAGCATCATGTATAAGGCATTGTTATTTTTGTGTTCTGAAGCAAAGATGAAACTTGGTATCTTTTGGGGTAACTGCAGATCCATCCTTGGTTTCACATGAATCACTTAATGCAGGGTACCTCTTTGTCAMAGCCTCAGAAAAATGCTGAGAATGTGACAGACTGCCTCCTAAAACTCCAAGTAACCAAGAAAAGAATAAATACAGATCCCTCTTTTAACATTCTAATGTTTCTGGAGCCAGGTTCATGATTTCCCGGGTGCAGGACCAGGCTTTCTGACCTGCAGGAGCTGGCTATATCACACAATTCACCACGAATGTGACTCTTCTCTTTGTTATTCATTGTGTCTTATCAGCTCAGTCCCCCCCCACCATGTAGCATCCCTCATGCAATAAATAGCATAGCAGGCTGCTGGGACTTTTTGATGCTGGTGAAAATTATGCTTATCCAATAGGGGGGAAAAAAAAAAAAAAAGGGAAACCTAGTGATAGTACTGTTGACTGGCCTGAGGGTTTGTCACTGGGCTGTTTGGTGAAGCTGGTGGGAAGATGCTTTCTAGTGAAGGATCACAAATTTGTTTCTTGCACTAGGTAACAAAGTCAGTGCTAGTTTTCATTCCCCTTTGCTGGCCTCTTTTGTTCTCACCAGTTCCTGTGAGTAACCTGTTCATTCACGTTTTTCTGTTTGTCTCAGGTGCTGNAAAGCTGACCCTACATCTGCAGGCAAGTGTTGCAGGACTGGGAAAAATAGCTTTCCAGGAAGAAAATTAAAAGAATGAGATTCTGATGCTCTTAAATAGTCAAAGACATTCTGAATAGAAATGCTTGAAGTTTTTAGAGCTGGCAAGCTGTGCGTCCTACTTTGGAATTCAGCTGGGGAAGGATCCACCGCGGTGTCAAAGGAAAGAAGCCRGTGGAGGCTGTCATTCCATGTAATTAGACAGGAGCAGTTGCATGTGGGCTGTGCATSGGGAATATCGAGCCTTTGAAGCCTAAGCAGGATGTGTGGTTCTGTATAATGTGATGAGCTGTATTAAAATCTTACTGCATATTTTTAAAAACCCTGGACTTAGTTGACAAAACAGATTCAGGATGCCACATGTGTTGCTCAGTGTGTCAAAAAAAAGGGAGATGGCTTCTATTTAAAAAGCAAGGCAGAAATATCTACCCATGAAACATTTTCAGATACTTGTCACTGCATACAGTGTCCAGACTATTCCAGAGATTAAGTCTTCCATTTGTCAGAAGTTATTGTAGTAAATCCCTAGGATTAAGTTGTTTTTGRCAGTATTGGAGTAGTAGCAAGCAAAGAGAGATGGAAAGGAAATTCTCCTAGAAGCAGGAAAATCTGCCATCTTCTYTAACCTGAAGGGACTGATCCTTTTTCAACTGGAACACCCCTGGCTCAGGGACAGATGGTTCAGCTGGAGTATCCTTATGGGCTGTGGAAAGTGAAAGGACACCTTATACATTCCAATTAATATATTCCAGGAACAAACAAAAATTAAACACTGTTTTATATYTCATTTCTGACTTGAAAGACAAATGCAGTATGCATCCAAATGCTACCACAAAATGATCCAAAGGGACTAAAAATGCTTGGACTGCTTCTCCTCACAGACTAATACCCATTTCTATCAGGGAAGGATTACCTCAGCATAGCAAACTGAGAGCTTCAAGTGGAGATGGAGGATAAGGATGAGGGGAGATCAAGTCTCCTTTTCTTCTTGGTGACCAGAACTGGAAAGTACTGAATTCAAAGTGGACTCCTGCAGCACATATTTTCACCTTARGCACACAGTGCAGATATAGATTAATCAGGGAAACTGTTTTGAGGATTACTGGAAAAGGGACACAACATTATGAAATAAGGATTTATCTCTGGTTAAAAGTTAATTTTGTTT